GGCAGCCTCTGAGAGGAGCCCAAAGGCTCGCTCCGGCTCTCCGCGGCCTCAGAACCGGGGCGTGGCCTGGCAGCCACGGGGTGCGCCAGGAGCCCCGGCGCCCCCGCTCCGGGAGGGGACGTGGGGGGCCCCAGAGCTGCGTGGCGGTGCTGAGGACCCGTCGGATCCGACCATCGCGTCCCCTCCCCGGCTCAAGCCCGGCGCGCGGTGGGGGCAGTCTGACCACCCGCGTCCCGAGATTTAGCTGATTCTGCCGGAGAGCAACGGGGCGGGCAGAGCAAGGCAGCTCGCAGTGGGGTCCCCCTGGTCTCGCACTGAGGCACCGCTTGGGGACGCCGCCAGGACCTTGTGCTGCGGGCGGCGCCAGGGTCAGAGGGCCCTGGTCCTCCTCCTCCCACCCTGGCAGCCTGGCAGAAACCCACCTCCCTCCCCCAACCTGTGGGCACCCTTCTGTCTCCCCTGAACCACACGATTCACACCAGCCCACACCTCCTCTCCACCTATCTCCTCTGCCTCTCTCGCAAGGTCTTGTTGACTGATGTCTACAATTGCAACTGGATGTTTCTGCGTAAACTTAAAGATTTCTCCTGAAGCATTGTGAGTTTCAGTGGGTTCACTGGCAACAGAATCTAAAATCCAGCAACTGTCAGCAGACAACTGGCTGGTTCTGCAGCTGGACCTTGTGCGCTGGAGGAGGGAACTGGACCCCCCCCCCCCAGGCCTAAAGACGGCCCAGGTGCCACTCCCGAGAAGAAAAATGCAACACACCATCCTCCTGGCCGCCATGCCCTTAGCTAAACCGTTGGCAAGCCTTCAGAGATGGCACTGGGTGGGCCTTGGGGCCTTTCCAGCTACTCCTGCAGGAGCCATTGGCTCCAGAAACAGGGGGACCCAGAGCTAGCCTGAAAGAGCCTCTGTGGGGTCTCAGCCAGCTGTGAACTGGCTCCCCGCAGTGTCCACCTCCCCGCATCAGAGAGGCTGGTCCTGGGCCTCTTTGGGCTCAGTCCGGGCTCTGGCCTCCCTTTGGCTAAAGAGAAGTCAGAGAATCTTGACCTTGCCAGAGTGAAAGGGAAGACCAAATCCCCAAAGGGTGGGAATTAAGCCTTTTGCCAGGCACATCCCAAACCTCTTTGGTGTCTGTCTGTGCGTCTTTCCATCTCTCCTTTCAGGCAAAATGAGCAGTTGTGTGTATTGTTCAAAGACCTGGACACTGAACAGACTCCCGCCCCCCTTAAGGTTCTCTCAGAGTGGAGCAGTGTGCTCAGTATTTCACCTTCCGCACGCAGCCCCTGAGTCATTCAAATCCTGCAGGCTCAGCCTAGAGGTGCAGAACCACCTGCAAAGCAGGTCAGATTTTTTTT